AAAGCAATAACAAACAATTTAAGGAATCACAAATCTCATGCTTGGAAGCTAGCCAAGAACAGAACCTAGAAACTTAAAATGCACAATTGTTTCCTTCAGCCCCTACCAAAGCAGAGATGGTATATCACAAATTCAAGCAGCTAGTCTCCACTAGTCATTAAAGGCCCTTAAGTATGTTCCATTGCCAAAATATGGCTTGAAGGGATGACATTTTGAACATACGAAAAGCATATTTTGCACAATATTTTGCAAAACAGCTCTCTATCTGACAAGCAAAAACAGATGTTTTAAAGGAACACAAAGTGGGTATTTTAAAGGAACACAAAGTACTTATTTACTTTCAGCAGAAGGCTTAAACTTTTGTAAAAACATTAGGAGTGGGCAAGATGGAGATCAGGAGCTGCACAGAACTCCAAACTGTCTTAAACTACTGGAAAAATAGGCCTTTCAAAATTTGCTCCCATAGGGGCTTGTTTAGAACCAAACTAAAACTTGCTCTAAGGTTCTTATTTTGTATTGATACCTGGAGCCTTTTCCAGGATAAAAAAATATGTGAATATTGCCGCTGGTTATATCCAATTTTTGTAGAGAGATTCTGGACAAGAAGAGTCTTGAAGAAAATGGATAAGTACACTCAGCTGGAACAGTTAAAGGTCTCTGGTGACGCAATTATTCATAATTTCAGCACAAACCATGCTCTCCAATTCTTAAATGAAAGGCAAACCAAAAATAGGATGCTTCATTAACTGGGATGGATGTGCAATAGTATTTGGACATCATGCAAATATAGTGTTGAGTGGGAAAAGAATGTTGTATACAGTAACAGTTCAACATTAGCACTACCAAGGCGCACTGATGTTTGTTTATTTCTCTTCTCTTCAGGGGTCAAATGCAGGGAAATAACTTAAAACAAGTGTTGGGAACCTGTTGCCCTCCCTGTGTTGTGTCCAGGCTCCCATCAACTCCAGTCAGCAAGTCTGATGGGATTTAGAATACAATTTATGGATGGCCACATACTGTAAGCTTTAGAAGGTGGAGCCTGAAACAAAATGTTTCAGTGTGTACTCACAGCCTAATAGGATCGTTCCTGTTGCAGCTAGACAGCCATGTTCTCTTCCATTCTAACCCCCCATTTTCTATTCCTCACCAGTGACCTGGGTGCAGGCAGGCTCAGGGGTGTGTGTGTGTGTGTGTGTGTGTGTGTGTAGGTGTGTGTGTGTGTGAAAATCATGCCGCATGTGCGGGCAAAAGGGGTGTGTGAATCCACCCCCTCTCTCTCTCCTTCAGGTTTGACTGCCTCCAAACTGGCCAGAAGCCAGGGCTTCCCTATAGATCATTGCTCCTGTCAGCTCCCCACCCCCAGGCAGCAGCAGCAGCAGCAGGAGGAGGAGGCAGTGCTCGTCTTCAGTGCAGCCATCTTTGAAGTAATAGCAGCCACTGACACATTCCCACCTGTTATGTATTGAAGTTCTCACCCTGGGCCAGCAGGGGGATACTGTAGATAGTTATGCAAATGAAGGATCGAAAGTGACGTTCAGTGATTGGACGTTCAGTGATTGGACGTTCAGTGATTGCTCGCAACACCTGGAAAAATCAAACCTTCCTTCTCCAGCTAGCAGCGCCAGTGAGACATGCTTCTAGGACAGGAGCCCTATCTCGCCTGCCAGTTTGATCCTTGCAAAGGATACAAAGGAACCTGAGTATGGCTCTGTTCCTCACTACTAACACTCAACATTTAGTGGCTACTGAGTATTCTCAGTCCTCATTGAATTATTTCATTGGGAGGCAGGGGATGAGCCCTTAGATTTTATTTTTGAAATATTTTCTTGTACTTCTGCAAAGCGCAGATCTCTTCTGTTCACACCCTTGTAGTTTGACTCTGCCACTTGAGTACACTATTAACAGGGGGTTGCTTAGTATACTGAAAATAGAGCTCCCTCCCATTGTCCAGCAGGAAGAAGCAAGTCACATGGTGTGTCATATGGTGTGGAATTTTTAGCCAAACCAGCATATCTCTGTGCTCTTCCTAGGCCTCATAAATTTGTGTTACCCGGAACTGAATGGTTGCTGTTTCTCATTTGTTGCTTCACACAAGTCAAGTTACTGGGTGCCTTAAGACAATTTGGATAATTTGTAGTTGCATTTCATCACAATTAGCTCAGAGCAGGGCGAGCACACACGTGATTAACTAACAGTTAACGAAACATCACAGCTGCTCACGAAAATGAGAGGGCTTTCCACAGAAATACCATTAAAAGGTTGAGCCATTCTTTGTGAAGATAAAGCAGAATCAGACTCAATACAAGATGAATAAGAGAGCCAGTTCGCATCCCCTCCTTAATTGCTGAAGAAAGACTGCAGAAAACCACCACTGAATGTGAATTTACACTGAATACATTTTTAGTGAACACTATTTTAGAATACATTTTCCAAGACTAATATGCATATCTCTCTTAAAAAAATGTGAATTTGGCACAGTATATTTGTTCAATTTAGGAAGCACTTCAAAATATACCATAGCGTAAGTGTGTGTGCAGGCTGTACACACACACACACACACACACACACACACCATTGCTGGTAAACTTTTAATTATACATTTATTTATGGTTCAACCAGTTGCAACTGAATTCTAGATAACTATAGATAAAACCATAAAGCCAGACTCCATATAAAGGCCTCTTTTTTTGCTGCTGGTAAATAATATTCAAGGAATAGGAGACACAAAGGTGGCTTTATGACCCATTTATCTCTACAAATCTAATGCCAGTTCAATATACAAGAGGTGATGTTGCGCATAGCCTTTGAAAACTAATAGGGACCCAAGAGGTATCTGAAGAGAATAAGGGGATGAAGTGGCAATTACTTCTTTTCCCCAGTCTTGCAGGTGCCCCATATGACCGGCAGAAATGCTAGCAATCCGAAATGCCACGCACACAGTATCAGCATACAGAGTGTAGAATCCAATACCCTTTACAGAATCCAGAGCATCCTAGCTTGTATTTAAAGCTTTCACATCTGCAAAAGGGTGCTCAGTACAGTATAAATATATAAGCAAGATCTTCAGAAGGAGCTAGCATTGAGGAACTACATGCCACAAAACTCCTTCTGTTTCTCTCATGGTTGTCAGTCGTGTCTCTTTATCTGTACTCCATTACAGCCCATGACTTAGCAGTCTATTTCCCTTCTGACACCAGTATACCTCTAATCCAAAATGTGAGGTGGGCAGGTGGGCAGTTCTTTTGCACTGCCAAAGGCTCTTAGTGGTTCCCCATTGTCACTCAATGTCTCCACTGCACCAGAAGCAATTTCGTCATGCTGGCCACATGACTTGGAAAGCTGTCTATGGACAAACACTGGCTCTCTCACCTCAAGAGAGATGAGCGCCGCACCTCATAGTTGCCTTTGATGGGACTTAATCATCCAGGGGTCCTTTACCTCTACCTCCAATGTCTCTGCACTTAGCTAGCCCAGCCAGGCTGATTTGAATAAGCTAACCTAAGCATTCGTTGTCTGGCACAGTCCTGCAGCTTTTATTTCCCCACTTCCTATCCCAGATATTAACTAAATTCTAGCATTCACTCATTTATTGAGTTTAGAAGGGAGTAGTGTCTCCCCTCACGGTTCATAACATTACAAACAATGGTGAATACTCTAAGCTGGTGTGAAAAGGAGCGTTAGACAGCTATACTAGAATGATTTCAAACCCAAGAGCAGCTCCCTGTATCTTTTTTTGCAGCAAAGTATGGCACAAATGGCAGGCCTCTCTGCACCATACTGGTCTTAGATTTCTTTTCTTTTTAAATTTTCAACCTCTTTCAAATCTGTCTGTGACTGATGGTGGGGATAGTGAAGGATATTCAAGCAGTGAAAGAGTTAAAAAAAACCCCACAGTATTTGATTGGGTTTAATGATGAATGGTACAAGGAAGACTTGTTCAAAAACTGGCTTCCCAAAGTCAACACAGTTAAAACAGAAAGCCACCCCTTTATCAGAAAGGTTAAGCTCTGATAAAGTTTAAGATGCTAGACAGAGTAAGCAAGATACTCAAAACAATCATATTAGCCCATTAGATAGATAGATAGATAGATAGATAGATAGATAGATAGATAGAAGATAGATAGATAGATGATAGATAGATAGAAGATATAGATAGATAGATAGATAGATAGATAGATAGATAGATAGATAGATAGATAGATGATAGATGACAGATAGATGATAGATGATAGATAGATGATAGATAGAATAAAATAGTGATAAGGAATATGGTCAAAAGCACAGAAATAGCTAAAGAGCCAAATCATGGTACACACTTCAGAGGAATGGGGGACATTCCCAGGGTTACTAGCCACTGACGTAGGACAAGGGAAAATCTTTCTGGCATTCAAATATAGCAATCCTCTCCAGAGCATATACCAGACTTCATGCACAGAGCTTCCGCCAAAAAACACACCAACATCTGACAGCTACACAAGCCTACCACACCTGGTAATTAGAAGCCAGCTCACAAACAGCATTTTTCAAAGACAAATCTGTGTGAAGGACAAAAATGCCAAGTAAGCATTTCAGAACATCTTTTCAATCACATACAATTATAATTACTTTCCCCTGAAAACCCAAGTGTGAGTTGGGTCCACTAATTAGCTTTTTATCTTAGTAGGAGTAAAATGCGAACCTTTCAAAGCCTGCCTAGAAATGCTACTAATTTTCATTGAAGGCTATCCCACTGGTGGGTTGCATGCTTCAAGCTGTACAGTGTTTTTGCTGTAGCCGAGGATGAGGTGAAGGGAGCAACGAGCCTCTGCTGTCTTTTGCAAACTCCTACAGGGACTGGCAGCAATTGCATTCCTCTGTCTTCATATTCACTTTCCCTCACACTAATTTCACACCTGGCTAGATACTGGAGGCTGGATGATATAATGCAGCTTCCTAAGGGATTGTGTCGTTTCTCAGATAATCATTAAAAAAAAAAGAGGGAGAGGGAAAGGTATCTCAACGGGAAAAGATGAAATCAAAAGCAGCACACCTGATACAGCAAGAAAGTCATCAATGCTTGTAATGTCATCCACAGCTTCAGTGAGCACATGTATGTGGTTCTCCCATGTGTTTTTATACATTTCCATGTTGTTTCTCACCACCTGGCTTTTGGGTTTGGCCGCAAGAGCTAAAGCAGCGTTGATAACCTACAGGAAAAGAAAATGCACACTTTTCTTTGTAAAATACCCTAAAATCGGACAGAAAAGTATTTAACTACATTTCAGTTTTCCAAGCTCTACAACACAAAAGTCTCAGTTTTCACACCACATAGAAATATTGTGCATATGCTAACCTTCCTGATGATTTTAAATTCTGTTAAGGTGAGACAGGAAACAGTGTCAGAGGGTCTCAAATGGAAGGCTAGCAGATAGATACAAGCATCATATCCTTTGCACTCATGACCATGGTAGATGGTCAGAGGACAGAGATGCTTACCTGTTCATCTTCTGCAGTGCCACCATCATGCATGGCCAGAAAGGGGTGTTGCAGCTACTAGCTCAGCAGCAGTCAGGTGACAAAAGGGGCCCAAACCATTCTGCCTTGTCCTATACAGCTCAGCCTAAGAAACTTGATGTTCATGCATAGATTAGGCTTTCAGGCTGCCCATCTGCTAACTTGCCCCCCTGCTTTCTGTCTCACCTTCAAATCTTCAAACTGACTGCAGGAAAACACTTGTGGTTTTTATTTGTATGTGGAAGAGTCAATTATTTAAATATTTTTAAGAAGATGAATACTCTGTTTGGTGTCAACAGAGCCTCTGAACACCAGGTACTCAGGGTAATTAGGTCAGGGTACCTGTAATGGCTATCTTTTAAAGAATAAATTAATACCTAATACTTTTAAGAGAAGTGATAAATAAAGACTGGAAGCATACTGGAAACCATCCTTGCTTTATAAGTCCAATTTTAAAGGGGTTGGGGTTGGGTTAGGTACTGTATTTTCAGTTCATAAATCATATGACATAGACACATTACGGGCCAACATGAGGCATGACCTAAGCAAAGGGTGGAAAGTTAAATGCAACAGCTAAATCAAACATGTAGTTTTGCATATCTTTTTTGAAATTCTATATAGAATTGTTTTCTTGTTGAGTAAGGAAGGCTCCCTAAATTTCCATTGCATTAAATTGCTTCCAGCTTTAAAATATACCAAGACATCAGTCCTCAAAACAAATACATATTTTTTTAGGGAATATCCATTATTCAGATACTTTTCAAGTTAACGGTTCATTAAAACACAGAAATCTAAATCAGTTTCAAAAAGCTATTAGGTTTGAAGGTAAATCTTGCGTTTCTAATAGAGGTTTTTTTTTTCATACTAAAGCTGCCTTTGACAAACAGAACAAATAATAAAGAAAAATGGTCAAAAATTAAAAGCTACTAAACCATATTCTGCATTACACAGGCATTTATGATTCGCATTATTAAACAAATATATAACACAAAAAGAAATCTCATATTGCCCTGAATATATAAAAGGAGGTACTCCAAGTGTTTGGGACGTGGGTGGCGCTGTGGGTAAAAGCCTCAGCGCCTAGGGCTTGCCGATCGAAAGGTCGGCGGTTCGAATCCCCGTGGCGGGGTGCGCTCCCACTGCTCGGTCCCAGCGGCTGCCAACCTAGCAGTTCGAAAGCACCCCCAGGTGCAAGTAGATAAATAGGGACCGCTTACTAGCGGGAAGGTAAACGGCGTTTCCGTGTGCGGCTCTGGCTCGCCGGAGTAGCTTCGTCACGCTGGCCACGTGACCCGGAAGTGTCTCCGGACAGCGCTGGCCCCCGGCCTCTTGAGTGAGATGGGCGCACAACCCCAGAGTCTGGCAAGACTGGCCCGTACGGGCAGGGGTACCTTTACCTTTACCTTACTCCAAGTGTTGGGAAAGCCTGAGATTTGAAGGCAGCTAAAATACTTTTTGTCAAAAACCAGGTTGGTTTTATTTTTTTTCTTCCTTTCTCTTTTGAAAAAGAACACCTGAGTAAAATGTGAGTCATTATTCAAATGTTCCTTAGTCACGTGCAATATATGTATTATTTTAGTTCAAATTTTATTGTACAATTAAACAGAACTGCTAAATAGAACAATATTGCTACATCATTCTCTCACACACAAATTCTATATTCCACCTTGCAAAAGGTAACAAGTTCATTTTTTCTATAGGTGGCCATTTCTTCTATCAGAGCAATCAGTTTAAATGTTTGTACACAGGAATGTTGGTACTACCCCAGATATGACAGGATGCCAACCTTCATAGTCTGCCAATGCTGAGCACAGTTTGTGAAACAGCCTGGAAAGCTTCAGGTGATCGGAAAAATATGATGCCCCAGATATTATGGGCCTTCAGCTTCAGCACAAGTTGCCCCACTGTCACAGTGCTGCCTGATGTGTTTGCAATGCCAGTTAGAATCCTAAAATCATAAAATTTCAGAGTTGGAAGGGACTCCAAGGGTCATCTAGTCCAACCCCCTGCAATGCATGTGGTTGTCCCAGTATATTCTTTCCAGGCAGGCCAGGTGCCCCTGGAACATTCCTAAGACACAAAGGCAAGACCCCTCCAGTGTCTGACCCAAACAGACTTCAGGGGTATACAGCCCCAGCACAAAGAGAGGCATAAGTTGACCACATGACATAAAGGGATACGAATTGCCATGCTTTCCCCATTCCCTCTGTCTTACATTGCCAGACAGTTTTGCATCTCAGCCTCATGGCAGGCAGTTTTGAGGCCAATGTAAAATCCAAACTCTACTTGGTTTGTGTCCTCTTTATACGGAGTCAATTCAATAACGAAAACAAAACTGATTTTTATTGTTTAGCTTCCTAATTAAGGGCTAAATTGTGCTCATACACTGCAATCCTGCACCATGTAAATAAACGTTCCTTTTTTCATCTTAGTGTATAAATAATTCAAAGTTATATAAGCATTAACTAATAGAAAAGCATCCTTTGTTTTTGCCAGTTTAGCATTTCACTCTTTGAAATCATTCCACTGTCACTGAAGCCCCTTAAACAAAACACTAGGGCGATATCTCTGAAGAGGTGACTTAAACTTCCAGTACAATGCACCAGTGCTGCTGAAAGCAATATAATATGGTTCTTTGCAGCAAAACATCAAACCAGAAGATTTAAGAGATTATTAGGAGGGCATCCTTACAGGGACACATACTTAGCGTATCCACCTGGTAGAAATTTGTCTTTGACATTCTACACACACTTTGAAAAATGCTTCATAGGAGGCATGGCAGGTACAGAAGAGCACTGCACGCTAATGCCAGCCTTAGCCACCATCTATCTCCCCCTTCAAATTCAATATGTCCCTGGGCCAACACACCTTTTTCATAATTAAAACAGGTACAGGCAACCTGTCTCTTCATCAAACCTAATGCAATCCATTTTCTTAGTTTTCATTAAAGTGGTTTCTCTGAAGATTAAAAACAAAAAACAAAGCAAACCCCTCAAACTGAGGGCTAAAATCCAAAGGGCGAGATGCAGAATACTTTTCTGCCGCTCTTTGCTACTGTAGGCGGGACGCGGGTGGTGCTGTGGGTTAAAGCCTCAGCGCCTAGGACTTGCCGATCGAAAGGTTGGCAGTTCGAATCCCCACGGCGGGGTGCGCTCCCGTCGCTCGGTCCCAGCGCCTGCCAACCTAGCAGTTCGAAAGCACCCTCAGGTGCAAGTAGATAAATAGGGACCGCTTACTAGCGGGAAGGTAAACGGCGTTCCGTGTGCTGCACTGGCTCGCCAGATGCAGCTCGTCACGCTGGCCACGTGACCCGGAAGTGTCTGCGGACAGCGCTGGCTCCCGGCCTATAGAGTGAGATGAGCGCACAACCCTAGAGTCTGTCAAGACTGGCCCGTACGGGCAGGGGTACCTTTACCTTTACCTTTATTGCTACTGCAGGGCCTTGCACTGCATGAGAACCTGCTCCTGGGAAGACGCTGAATACAGCAGTACAGTGGTACCTCTCGTTGCAAACGGGATCCATTCTGGAGCCCCGTTCACAACCTGAAAGGAACGCAACCCGCGTCTGCGCACGCGCGGGTCACAATTCGCTGCTTCTGCGTATGCGCGTGACATCATTTTGCATGTCTGCACATGCGCAAGTGGCAAAACCCGGAAGTAACCCTTTCCGGTACTTCCGGGTCACCGTGGGACGCAACCTGAAAAGACGTAACCTGAACTGAACGTAACAAGAGGTATGACTACATTGTTGTTGTGTTTTTTTAAAAAAGAATAATTTAATGCATAATTATAATGTTAATTAAAATGCTGTTTTACTGGGTTTATGTTGTACATTTGTTTTTATGATAAATATGTTATTGTTTTCATGTTGTATTTTTGTACTCTTAGGAATTTTTTAATATTAAGCAGAACTAACTTTCTGCCCCAGCGCAAGGGGATTTCCCCCTCTCTTCTCTCCCCATGTGTGCCCTGCACCATTCCCAAATCTGCTCGAGAGGGTTGGGGGGAAACTTAGAAACAATTTAGGGGAGTGTGGGGAGGAGAGGGGGAGAACATTCTGTTGCACCAGGAGAAATCCTTGTAATGACAAAGCATTCACCTTAGCACTACATTGAATACAACCCAATGTGGTTCAGAAACACTCTTACTTATTTATTACATTCATATCCCTCTTTTCCTCCAAGGAACCCAAGGTGGAGAACATGGCACTCCCTCTTTCCTTATTTATCTTCACAGCAACCCTATTGGGTCGGTTACGCTGGGAGCTGCTGACCGGCCCCCAATCCCCCAGTGAGCTTCATGGCTGAATGGGAATGTGGACCCTGGTCTCACGGGCCCATGTCTTACCCTTTCACAATTACATCACTCTTGTTCTCCTTTAAACAAAATAAATAAATATGAAGCTGGGGGTGAAACTTGTCACAACATTTTGTTTCCATGGAAGGAAATGCTTGCTGCTCACACTTGAGGAGGTGGGAATGGACTCTGGCCAAGAGAGGCAATGATGCTATTCTATCTCTTTGTGCACTTTGGGTCAAATTACATCTGAAGTGTGTTTCAGTTTCTCAGCATTTATAACAACAGAATATGAAATTGCCTCCAGTTACAATTTATATGAAGAGAAACATGCTGCTTGAATTAGCCTGATCCTCCATTCCCTTTCCCCTTTCCTTTTTTATGAAGAAACCCTCCT